CTCCCCAAAACCCCAAAACCCCAAAACCCCAAGTGGGAAGCCAAGGGTGGATTATTAATTATTATGATTAAGAAGAGGGGGACCAAGGATAGGAAGAAAGGGAGGAAGTTCAAGAGGAGAGGGAAGGGAATAGTGTCAGAAGGGGATAGTGATGTAGATATTGAAGACTATTTTGCCCTACTGTCGATTGAGTCTTTGGAGTATGATACTTTTGTGAAGAAGAGAATCTTGCAGGAGGTAATTTTATTTTATACAATTGAAGAAGTCAATATTTGTGTTGTTAATAATATTTATCAAGTCTTTTTGTAGGAAAATAAGCAGCCAAAAATAGAACATACGAGGGTGAACTCTAATACAATTCAACAGAAGAAAAGAGTGATTAGTCCTAAGCCATTAGCCTTACCTACCTGAGTAAAATTAAATAACGAGAAACAGAAAATTTTTGAAAATCTAACCGAGAAAAAGCCAACTACTAAAACTGCCAACAAGAGAGTGAGGAAGAAGAACACTTTCAGCCCTGATCCTATACCTTGTAATAATTCCAATTCTGTGGTTAAGAACTTTTTATTGAAGGATCTAACCTCTGTAATAAACTTAAGAAATATTTATGCTCCTAATCAAGGTCCTAATGAGAAAGAGCTGCTTTCCCAAAGTATGCGGCTGGAGAAAGAAGGAACTAAAGCCTATATTATCAACAAACTCAAACTGAAAAGAATCCAAAATATAGTAGATAGTGGCAATATCCCAAGTGCTATGAAACCAGCCATTACAGTAATAGGAATTTTAATGAATTTAGCTGAAGGAAATCACTCAAAAATTGATGAAGGAAAAATATGAATATAACTTGGTCCCACAGAAGAAGACAGTCCTTCCAGCCCATCTTGCCAAAGGACTTTCAAAGAGGTCGAAGAAAATGATCGAAGCTTATCAAATAAAGATCAAATAAAGCAGTAGTTGGCAAAAAGAAAACTAGCATTGAAGATAAGAAATCAAGCTTTAGGTCTGATTTTGATATGAACTTCAGCACTAAGACCAATACTTTTTACGGTGATAGGACTGATACAAAGAGAAATACGGATGCAAAGGTAAAAATACAGCAAAGCTACTCTTCTAACTGCAAAGTCATTTTTCCTCCACATATTACAAGTGGAAGAATCAATGGAATGGACTTAGGAGGTAAAATATCTAAGGCAAACAGTCCTAAGCGTAATGTAACAATGGATGCTAGTAACACAAATCATCCAATCAGGAATATTCAGGATATCACACTTGAAAGGATATCCTCTCCAAATGAAAGACTAAAGAGCCCAATTGTCAATAATGATTTAGCTAGACTTCTGACTTAGCCAGGACGAATAACTTGTGTAAAGTTATTCGTACACTCTTGTTTAATAAATGGTGTAAACCTTAAATTTTGAAATAGAAATATTCAATTTATTAAAAGAAACTGGGGTTTTGGGGTTTTGGGGTTTTGGGGTTTTGGGG